GTGGACCCTCGGCAATCTCCAGGGCAACGTCTGACAAACGATTTTTATCAGCCCATTCTTGAAGTCTTTCCATTAGCTTCTGCTCAGCTGGTTCAAGGAGATGCCCTTCGTTAACAGAGTCTGCATCTCGGATGCATTTAAATCCTTCCCAACATCACCATTCCGTAAAAAAAAAATGGTCCTGGTGGTGGCCCATTTACGATGGACGTTATTGACTCAAGTCAGTGCCAGACTTGTGCCTAGGGTGGTTTTTCAATCTGCTCCATCAAGAACATTGCCCATGATACTGGACTTGATCTTGAAGGAAAGCTGACACCACTGACACCAGAGCTATCGATAACTAACTACATGTACTATGATACACCAAGCAATAATTTTTTGCCCATATGTTATATGCCCATAGATATATTGCTGCTTGATAATATTGCGCCGCTTGTATGGCAGACTTGTGTCAAGTTGCTTAGATGGAATTACAGAATTCAAACCAAAAAGGCCTTTATTCACCGCCGCCATGGACTAATCCTGATTATACTCGACAGATTACATTAAAACGCACAGGGGCCCACTCATTTTTTGTGTACACCAACTATTCACGCCGGTTTGCGGGCAAAATAAAGTCAGTCTTACCCACGTCATCAGGTTTTGAGATTATATTCTCATACTATTGTCCACATTTTGCTATTATCCGTAGAAGGATCCCCCGTCGCCGCGGATGGACCGTGCCATTGCATGATTACCTTTTTAAAAAATACTTGTAGTGCTTTGGATACCTTGTAACGCCAAACTAAACCAAACACTCGCGGCGGAAGGGGGCGGGGCAGGGGACCAATGGCTCCACACATTTTTGATTGGGGGAGGGGACATGGGCCCCCAGTTTTGGTAGGTCCATTATAATTAGGCAGGGCTTAGTTGATCGGTGTATTGATGGCTTAAACCTGATGGTCTCACAACTGCTCCTCCCCTTAGAAAATCGCTCCACCAACGTTGAAACCGAACCGAACCAAACTGAAATGATAACATGATGACGTAACGTCAAGGTGTACATACCCAATAAGCCATTTACGAGTTAAATTTGAATAAAATCTGGTATACTGAGTTATCTGATTGCACAAAAATATAACAATTTGAATTCCCCAGACTAAAGACACTGTTGCTATACCTTGTGATTCAGGACAAGCTTTTGCATAGCGACCACCGTTTCTGGAATGGACTGGTTCCTTTGTGCCCTTCTTATCCGTTAAGAACGGTGTATTGTTCCAAGGCGTCTCTTATGTGACTAAGGAAAAGCTTGCCCAGAATCACGAGGTCCATATGATGCAAGATATGGGGCGGAGAGCACCCCCCACCTTTGTGTTGGTCATTGTATGATAAGAATCTCAGGAATTCTTTACAGACATCTAGGGGGACGTGTTAGGTAACTATAGTCTAGAGTGTGTATAGGGATTGGACATTGGGGGGGGGGGTACCCATCGGCCCCATATCGTGCACGGTATCACGAGGCTTTAGTATGGAGAATTCCAGTTGTTATGTTCACATGAATTTAAAGAATTCAGTGTACCAAATTTTATTCAAATTTAACTTGCAAAAGGCTTATTACATTATTTCGATTCCACATTTGCCGATCTGCTTCCTTCTGTTATAATATCTTTCGGAATATTTTCTTCTCAGGAACTAATTTTACGCTTAAACTAAGAATGAAAATAATATACCTGTTGTAACAATCTGCCTAAACGAATGTCTTATTGTCATCTTTAAAAAACAGACAATAGAGTTTTGAATCGACTGTTCAATTGCAAGTAATGGACGAGTCTGAAATTAATGTGAATACCCGAATTCTCATGCACCCTGATGAGCATTGGTCAGATCGCTTTGAGATAGACGGGCGCAATAGATTTACAGAACGCTGTAAATCCCCAAACATAGTGGATCTGCAAATTTTCCAACTATTTATAAAATCCACAAACTACTTAATACATACCAAGGTCGAAATAAACATAATCAACCATAACTGCTGTCTATTGAGGTTTTTAATTATTCATGGGGAACATTGTTCCTGTTTGCAAAATTTTGTGACAGGAATATAATAATACCACAGTAGATTTTTCAGACCGAATTCGTCCAGTTGCCAGATAGTCATTCTCGTGCGTTTAGCAGTTCTCCTGCGTGCTCAAATTTAGACACTTAAACTAGAATTCAGTCATTCAAAAGTTTGTCATTTGTCACTGCACCCTTCCTTTAAGACACGACGACCACTACCAATGTATAATTTCGCCGGGTTACGGGAAATACGATAGCCATACAGTACAAACTCGGACTGAAAACTGTTTAAACGACATGATGGCAAAAACGGTATGACTCACAATTATACCGATTACACCAATACATTCCAGTGACCCAGATAGGAATAATTTAGTATAAAATGCTCTGTTAACAGGCAAATGGCTGAAATAATTGAAAATATAATGGTTACAGTGTCGTAGCAAGAGTAATTTGACGGGGGGTGAAATAGGGTGCCGTCCAGCATCCCCACTGAAAATAAACAAGATTTTTTTCAGGGGCCAACAAACCTCCCTCTAATCGAAAAAAAAAATTGGAAGGGAAGGGGCTGTTGAAGCCGGTAAATATTGGGTAGTAGGTGNTTGCACAAAAATGTAACAATTTGAATTCCCCAGACTAAAGACACAGTTGCTATACCCTGTGATTCAGGGCAAGCTTTTACATAGCGACCACCATCTCTGGAATGGACTGGTTCCTTTGTGCCTTTTTTATCCGTTGAGAACGGTGTATTGTTCCAAGGCGTCTCTTATGTGACTAAGGAAAAGCTTGCCCCGAATCACGAGGGCCATATGATGGGAGATATGGGGCGGAGAGCACCCCCCACCTTTGTGTTGGTCATTGTTTGATAGGAATCTCAGGAATTCTTTACAGACATCTAGGGGGGACGTGTTAGGTAACAATAGTCTAGAGTGTGTATAGGGATTTGACATTTGGGAGTGGGGTTACCCATTTGCCCCATATCGTGCACGGTATCACGAGGCTTTAGTATGGAGAATTCCAGTTGTTATGTTCACATGAATTTAAAGAACTCAGTGTACCACATTTTATTCAAATTCCACATTTGCCGATCTGCTTCCTTCTGTTATAATATCTTTCGGAATATTTTCTTCTCAGTAACTAATTTTACGCTTAAACTAAGAATGAAAATAATATTCCTGTTATAACAATCTGCATAAACGAATGTCTTATTGTCATATTTAAAAAACAGACAATAGAGTTTTGAATTGACTGTTCAATTGCAAGTAATGGACGAGTCTGAAATTAATGTGAATACCCGAATTCTCATGCACCCTGATGAGCATTGGTCAGATCGCTTTGAGATAGACGGGTGCAATAGATTTACAGAACGCTATAAATCCCCAAACATAGTGGATCTGCAAATTTTCCAACTATTTATAAAATCCACAAACTACTTAATACATACCAAGGTCGAAATAAACATAATCAACCATAATTGCTGTCTATTGAGGTTTTTAATTTATTCATGGGGAACATTGACAGGAATATAATAATACCACAGTAGATTTTTCAGACCAAATTCGTCCAGTTGCCAGATACTCATTCTCGTGCGTTTAGCAGTTCTCCTGTGTGCTCAAATTTAGGCACTTAAACCAGTATTCAGTCGTTCAAAAGTTTGGCATTTGTCACTGTACTGCACCCTTCCTTTAAGACACGACGACCACTACCAATGTATAATTTCGCCGGGTTACGGGAAATACGTACCAATTTGTGGCAAACGGTTGTTTCTTTTCTTGTCACAACAACCAATGCAGGCTAGCCATACAGTACAAACTCGGACTGAAAACTGTTTAAACGACATGGTGGCAAAAACGGTATGTCTCACAATTATACCGATTACACCAATACATCCCAGTGACCCAGATAAGAATAATTTGGTAAAAAAATGCTCTGTTAACAGGCAAATGGCTGAAATAATTGAAAATATAATGGTTACAGTGTCGTAGCAAGAGTAATTTGACGGGGGGTGAAATAGGGTGCCGTCCAGCATCCCCACTGAAAATAAACAAGATTTTTTCCGGGGCCACCAAACCTCCCTTGAATCGAAAAAAAATTGGAAGGGAAGGGGCTGTTGAAGCCGGAAAATATTGGGTAGTAGTTT